TAAACCTGGTTTTAGACCTGGTTTTAGTCCTGGTTTACACCTGGTTTAGTGTCCGGCAGTGAGTGGAATTACCAAACAAAACAAAACAAAAAAACGGAATAGCCCAAAATGTGAAAACAGGAAAATACCTCCATGTAATCCATTTATTTCAACAAAGTAACTGTAATCCAATCACCACTCACTGAAACAGTAAATGTAACTGAAAACAGTTACTCATAATTTGTACTCTGATTACTTAACTCTGGTACATGTAATCTGTTACTCCACAACACTGGATATGGGGCAGATAATATGAATATTAAAATATCAAAATACAGAATTGTGTTATAATCACATTCTGTGGTTGTAATACAGGTCTAATCCAAGGGTGGGCAAACTTTTTGACTCATGGGCCACAAAGGGTTCTATAATTTCACGGAAGGGCCGGACCAAGAGCAGAGTTTTTTATTTATTTTTTTAGTAATCCACCTCATAAGAGAAAGAAAAAAATGAAATGACAATTACTGAAATATCCCATAATTGAAAATGATTACAAAGCATTATGACAAAATATCTGTCTTTCAAGTCTCACGGTATTTGCTATTTATTGAAATTACTTTTAAAACACAGAACAATTATTATTATTATTATTATTATTATTATTATTATTATTATTATTATTACTATTATTACTATTATTACTATTATTACTATTATTATTACTATTATTCAAATTCGGCGGGCCGAATCAGGTTCAGCGCTTGTGAATTTACCTTTAGTCTTTATCTTTCATGGCAGGTACAATATGATCAATAGTGAGAACTGAGAACTGTTTCTTGCCTCCTTTAGGTAGTATGACATCATTTAATTCAAGTTTATTTATAAAGCACATTAAAAACTACGTCAGATGACCAAAGTACATCACATAAAAGCCAACAAAATAAAAAAAACAGTTGCACACACATTTACACAGATAACATGAAAACTACAATGAAACACCAAGATAATCTAACAGCTCGTACTAAATGCCAGTGAGAAGAAGTGAGTTTTCAGTCTCGTCTTAAACTGTGTTACAGACTGAGAGGATCTGACAGGAAGAGGAAGGTTGTTCCACAGTCTGGACGCTGCCACAGAAAAGCCTCTGTCACCTCTTGTATTGAGATTAGTTTTTGGGTACAACCAACTGAAGCTGGTCAGCTGATGTCAGGGCTCTGGGTGGAGTTTAGAGCTGCAGTAACTCCCTCAGATAAACTGGACCCATGGAGTACAGACATTTTGAAAACAATTAATAGCATTTTAAATTGCACCTGATATAAGACAGGGAGCCGGTGCATTTATCAGCAGACGAGCTGCAGAGTTCTGGTCGTGTTGTAAACGCTGCAGGAGTCCTGGTCTCAACCTACATACAAAGAATTAAAATAGTCCAGGTGTGATGTTACAAAAGCATAAATAGCTTTTTCCAACTCTGCCTGTGGGAGGTTGGGCTTTATTTTAGTGAGGAGCCTCAACTGAAAGAAGCTGGACTTTATCACATAATCACGTTCTATAAGACCACGTGATGATGTCATGTCCCAGATGGGGACAAGAGCCAAATTTCTGATTTAACCAGTACTTTGACATAAAATAGCCTGTTTAAAAGCCAGGTCCTGTGATTGAATCTTACAGAAGTGTGTTTTTACATTGAATATCTAAATACTGTGCTGCCCCCTTGTGGCGCTGATGTTACTCAATAAAGTGAAAGTCAAAACTTCCCCTGTCTTACCTGTTTGTTTGTTTTTTTGTTTGTTTTTTGTGTGTTTTGTTTTGTGTTTAGTTTTTTTTGTTTAATCCTAGAATGCAGTGGTCTGCCTTCTTTATTTGACGCACAGTCAAATAAAGTGGATACTATAGGATTTATGCCTACTGATCACAGACTGAGCTTTAATTGATTGGAACTTGGGAGGTGTAATTACTGTTAATAACTATGACGCCTCAACTATGAGGCTCAAGAAGTTCAACCTGAAGTTCCACCTTCCTGAAACATGAGAAACACCCCTTATTACAACAATATTCAAGCGTCCCTGGAAGTGCGTTAAAAGGGTCAATAGTCAATAGTTTTGTTTTGTTTTTCTTCAATAGTCAATAGTTGGAGTCTGGTTTTATCGTGTTCTCAGCTGCTGCACGTGCTCAGTGAGTGGCAAAGCTTTTTAACTTTCGCTTAAAGATTATGACGCACCAAGACATTCCGACGGTGAGTATTATGTTCATTAACTAAAAATCTGACAATTGCATTATTACAGGTTGCTACAGTAACAGTTTCTAAACGCAGTAGCTGGACTGTTAGACCTAAGAGGTTTAGATAAACACATATAGTGTTATTAGGCTGATAACCACGGATCGTTAAACGAAGACAAGAGATCGGAATGCTTCATTTGTCACGTTTACATGAGAGCTTTAAATTAGAATAAAATAATTTAATTCTGAATAAAAATTCATTCTGCTTAAAAATGTACAGCATGTAAACACTTAATTCCTATGAAAATGATTATTCGGAATTAAACTTAATTCAGAAGTAAGTGGGTGGTTTGTTCCTCGATCATTTAAACGTTTATTCGTGTTAAAAATAATTCCAGTCGTTCAGCGCATGCTCGTTGAGTCGCCCTGACACGATCCGGACGATCCGGCTCCACCAGTCATCAGACTTTCATCCACTGCTCTTTGGATTTGATCTAATGTGTCCTTGTAGTAAAAGTCAGGGAGGATACCAGCGACATGCGGTCAGGGGAGGCAGGTCCCCCACACATTTTAGGGATAAACATACAGACTTATTTTCTTTTGATCTGTAGTGAGTTCTGTGGTTTAAAATAACGAAATGTCACAGTTCTTTTCAACATAATGCAAAGAGATGTGAAAGGGGGAGCATCTGTGTGAAAGGGGGCGCACCTGTGTGAAAGGGGGAGCACCTGTGTGAAAGGGGGCGCACCTGTGTGAAAGGGGGAGCACCTGTGTGAAAGGGGGAGCACCTGTGTGAAAGGGGGCGCACCTGTGTGAAAGGGGGAGCACCTGTGTGAAAGGGGGCGCACCTGTGTGAAAGGGGGAGCACCTGTGTGAGGGGGGGTGGATCTGTGTGAAAGGGGGCGCGTCTGTGTGAAAGGGGGCGCACCTGTGTGAAAGGGGGACCACCTGTGTGAAAGGGGGAGCACCTGTGTGAAAGGGGGAGCACCTGTGTGAAAGGGGGACCACCTGTGTGAAAGGGGGACCACCTGTGTGAAAGGGGGACCACCTGTGTGAAAGGGGGACCACCTGTGTGAAAGGGGGCGCACCTGTGTGAAAGGGGGCGCACCTGTGTGAAAGGGGGAGCACCTGTGTGAAAGGGGGAGCACCTGTGTGAAAGGGGGAGCACCTGTGTGAAAGGGGGCGTGTCTGTGTGAAAGGGGGCGTGTCTGTGTGAAAGGGGCCTTGTCTGTTTTATAGGGGGGTGCATCTGTAGCCGCACATTTACTACAGAAATATGGATTATAAATTGACGGTGTCAAATTTCACTGCACACTTTAATAATAATAATGCATCAGTTTTATTTAGCTCTTTTTTGGACACTCAAAGACACTTTACAGAGCATTATTCAGCATTATTCATTCACTCCACGCTCGGGTTATGGTAAACTACTATTGTAGCCACAGCTGCCCTGGGGCAGACTGACTGAAGTGCGGCTGCCAATCTACACCATCAGCCCCTCCGACCACCACCAACACTCATACACACACCACTTACTAGGCAATGTGGGTGAAGTGTCTTCCCTAAGGGCACAACAACAGTTTTTGCAACTGGTGTCCCACTGATGCACCTTTTTTCCCCAGTGGTCTCCTATCTAAGTATCTGGCCTTGCTTCTGAGATCTGACGGGATCAGGCTTTGACAAGCCGGTATGGCTTGAGTAACTGAGTCTTTTTACAACTAAATAAATCATTCACAAACACATTAACTATAATCTTAATGTAGAGATTCTGTCCACAAATTATTTGCAGGAAGTTTATGTGAACAACTGACTGACCAGTGGTATAATGGAGTTTAGCTCAATTAGTTAATTTGCTTGTTTTCTTTGTTTTATCATTACAGCTTACTGTTTTTATTAGTAAAGGTGATTCTTATGCATTTGTAAAGAAAATATAAGCAGTATAGTGCCCATCCACATTTTTGAGCCTACTGCACTTTGTCTCACCAGATGCATGTCACTGAGGCCTACCACAGTAAGCCTCTTCCTGTGTACCATATCTTAGATTATTACACAAGGCTTGAAAAAAAAAGTGGTGAAGTCCTTTGTTAGAAGTTTTGCTCATGATGCTTTTTACCTCCAGATGTGATTTTCCATTCCAACACCATGGCAGCTGGATCTGGCAAGTACATTTCACTCTGAACTCTGAACTCTGACACACGTTTGATAATGAGCTGTTTATTCTGGGATCAAATATTTGAAGATGAGAAAATAAACTCATAGTTG